GACGGCGGGAGCGCTGCGGGAACAGGCGCCTTGGCTCCCTCCAGGGCAGAAGATGTGCTTGGGGGTGATCTAAATTGTGTTTTTGAAACCAGAGTGAGACCCGTTTCCCCTGGCAGGGCTGGCTGTGTGTGCTGGCAGCGCTGCGGGGCCTCTCCCCTGCCTGGGGGATGCTCTGCAGCCGGGACAGCCAGGCCGCTGGGGGCACTTCCCGGGGAGCAGATAAGCTGCGCCCTGCCCTGAATACACCTGAGGCCTCATGGTTTTGTTTCAGCTGAGCCCTGAACCTGCTGGGCAAAGCACTGGCCCTCCTGGGTCAACCCCAGTGGCTGTGTCCAGGTTTACACCTCAGTGGGGCTGAAGCAGGGGAGAGACCAGCTCAGGGAAAACACACATTCTCCATGGTCCCAACAGAACTCTGACCAAGACGTGAGGAACCGGGAGAGCTTGGTGGCAGCTAAGACCAAATTAAATCCCAGTTTACTGTCACTTTTGGGTCTTGTGTAGAATAACATGAAACACAGACTAATTTGGACTAAATCCCACACTGGCTGTGCTCCTCCTGACGTGCTCGTCCCACTGACTGCATTCCCAGTGCTCCCCTGCAGAAGTCACCACAGCTCCAGCGGATCATCCATCTCCAGGCCAGGCCCTGTCCACGCTCCCCACCCCGGGGTGGTGGGTGCTTTAGAGCTGGGTGCCAGCAACCTGCAGAAAAGGCTCAGCTGCCCCTGAGCGGGGCTGGATCCCTGATCTCTGCCACCCCTAATCCACCTCCTCTGTTTAACGCTGCCTGCACATCCCTGACCCCTTCCCCTCTCTCTCCCCAGCCTCCTGGTGGATCATGAACAACAACTGACCCTTGGCAGCCGCTTCCAGGACGCTGTCAGCATGCGGAAGGATGTGGAGCCCTCGGCACAGCCGTCACCCTGCCTCGCCTTTGTCACCAACCTGTCCTTTGTCCCATCTCGTGGGCTGGCGGGGCTTCCTGCCTGTCTTCCCTGGCCATGTTCTACCCTTTTGCTCTTTTCATGTTAATTATTTCCCCCACCAAAACAGTCTCCGTGCTGGGGCCCTCGCAGCAGCGCTCGTGGGAGCCCCATTCGGGCCTGGCAGCCTGGCCCTTGGCAGAGCACTGGGCGGCAGCCCTCAGCCCCTCTCGCACCCCCTCTCCTCTTCCCCTCCATGCTCCTCTTCCTCCTGGCTCTGAGGACAGGCCGGGGCTCCGCAGGGGGCTGGGATGGGCTGGGGGACATGGCTGTGGCCAGCTGTGGCATTCCCACACCCAGCCTGCAGAGCCACCCTGGGCCAGCAGTGGCTTTGCCCAGGGAGCCGGGCTGCCTCGTATGGATTGTGAATAGTGTTTTATAGGAAAAAAAAACCCGTATTTCTGGCAAGGGGTGCCAGCTCCGTTCCTGGCCACGCCGGCAGGCT